AAGGACCCGAAACTCTGGGAATTATGTCATATGTTCCTTATTATGGGTAATGCAGGGTTTATATCATCACCCGCATTGGTAAGCATCTAGGCTTCTATGTTAAGCCTCTCCTAGGCCCCACGCCCCTGCATGTCAAGTTTCCGAATGTGTGCTGTACTCGCAACTTGCAGCTGTGGGGTCCTACTTCTAGTAAACTTGTGTTCAACAACCCTGAACCCTAAACACCTAAACCCTAAATACGCTTCCGGGAAGTGTTGGTTCGGGATTCAGGGGCTGCCGTTGACTTCCATGACAGGGACCCCTCGGTCTCTGAAGCCGATACCGTACCTGTCCAGCATCCGAGAAGAACTACATGCTAACCGTTTGAGTTGTACAAGGGTTATGGTACCCCAAAAGGTTAAAGGTTATATACTCTACTACTAAAAAAACTTGGTTCGGGGTTGCACGAAGAGCCGCGTCGAGATCTTGGGTGCCACGACTATTGTCACTACCGCTGCGATGACGGTGGGGACTGCTGCACGATGATGGTGACCACCACTATGACTAGGCCGGGTCTATGCATGTCTGTCATTGCTCCTTCCTGAGTTGTTAGCACTGCTATCCTGTCACTACTGTTGCAAGGGTTCGATAAGACAGGCTTCATAAGGCTTCTATAATGAGGGCCCGGTTTCTGGATGACAGAAAGGTCGAGGCGCGGAAGAACTCCGGAGTTGGCTCACCACGTGGTCTTCGCGCCAGTTGTAGACCCTGGCTGATTAGGGTCTGCAGTTGGGGTTTAGGGTTTTGGTTTTGAAGACTGTGACTGTTCAGGCTTTACCGCTTGGGGTCGACGACAGGCAGCCGTCAGCAGCGAAGCTGCTGCTAAATCTAGTCTGAAACGTGACTCTAGCCGGACCCACATATGAAGATGCTGCTGATGCCGCTTCTGCTGCTGACCAGGACCATGATTCTGATGGTGGTGGTGGTGGTTGTGGTGAAGAAACTGATGCTCGTGGCGATGATGCTGGCTGTGGTGCTAGGGTTCTGCTGTAGCCTACGCCCCAGGCTGAATTCGGCCAGGCACACCAAATCTGGCCCTCGCTGGAGGCACACACCATGTGGGACTTGTCGTCCAACCTGTTCAATCAATACAGCTCATGAGAAAGAAGCCTCCTGACTGCGGTTTCAGGATTCTTGTTCCATGGCGGGATATTGAGATCTCTGCTCTGGAGAGCTGAGCCAAGGACGGTTCTGACATGTTCGCCAGTAGTCATAACTCATAGTGTCATATGAGATATGTACCTACTGAACGATATCGAATATCGCGAGTAAAGCCAACACTAGCAACAGGGCTGTGCTAGTAGTCACCACCATGCGGAGAAATTAGTAACTAGTTGTAAGTAAACAGTAGCCAGGCACAGTAGCAGCTGATTTGAGAAAGCGATCTATTCCCTTCTGTCACGAGTATGGGCTTCCCGCTATCATCAGATTGGTGGGTTTGCGTGCGCGTCCTGCAGCAGAAACCTATGTGCACCTCAGAATCAGCGGCATCTGCACACAGTTTACAACTACGACTACGACGCATGCGACAACGACGCCGACTACGGCTGCTACTGCTCCCTGTGGATACGTGCCAAAAACCCCCGACGCCTGTTCGGAATGGGCCGTAGGGCAGCTATGATCCTAAACGCCGAGCTCAATCCCGGAGGATCGGCGATACTCGGTTGGAACTAGCCGGCAGACACCGACGACTTGTTTGGGGGTGTCGAGTGTTCAGGTCTCGGTGTTAAATTGCAGGTTTCGAGCTGAACGCATGGCCTTCGGTTTCAGGCCTTAAATCACTTTAGTGTTTAGTTTTCGGGGGACCCATGGCAAAAGAGAGTCTACTGGGGCTTTAAGGGGCAAGAACAGCCCTCCAAACAATCAAGTTTAGGGGCCTTAATAATTAGATAGGGTTTTGGGGTCCATTATACTATAATTATAAATTATAACAAGGAAACCCCAAATAGTATAGGTAATTATTAAGCCCCCTTTGTTACGAGTGGGATGTGCCTCGAGGTTTACTTTGTCTTTGCCGCTACAGACGTCAGCTAAACTTGCCAGTGGCACGCGCACATCGCCGTGATTTTGCCCCCGACAGCAAGCTGCTGCAGATATACCTGCGCGCTATTCGGAGGGCAGGATGTCAACGGCATGCAGCCTTAACTCTCAAGCTGTTACTCCACAACACTGCTGTCGTCCTCATCTTGGCAGACACTGAAGCAGGGCTGGGGTTTGGGGTGGGTCTTCCCTTCTAGAACCCAAGCATGTTACAGACAGGCCTTTTTTACTGTCGAACTACATCTAGACAGCTGCAGTGCAGGTTTGTCTAGCAACAAAATCACATCGGAGATTTGTGCCGCGTGCGACGCAAAACCCCAAACCTGGCTAGAGGTACTTTGGAACTTCGATAATTGGATCGAGCCTTCTCGCTAGTTGAGACGCCCCAAACGCTAAAGCATGAGCCTTGGGCAAAAAGCCCCAGAGAATAGAAGCCAGCCTAAACCCTACACCCTATACCCCAAACCCTAAACCCCAAGCCTTAAACCCTAACCCCTAGATCCGAAACCCCAAACCCAAACCCCTAAACCTAAGACGGCCTCATGAGCGAGTTAGCCAGCTCAGGTACGAGTCTCCCGGAATCGTTTTGCTAGCGTGCGCTCAGGTTTCAGGGCTTAGGGGTAGATGTGTACGTGGAGTGTGGGGGTTGAGGGTTTAGGGGTTTGGGTTTAAGGGTTTAGGGGTTTAGGGGTTACACCCTAAACCCTGAATCCTAAACCCTAAACGTTTAGGGGTTTGGCTTCGGGGTTTAGGGTCTAATGGGGCTTAGGGGCTCAGGGGTATAGAGGCTTAGGGTTTCATTGAGGCCTCAAGGTTCAGGCGCCATCGAAAACCCTAACCCCTAAACGCTTCCGGATTGACACTTGAAATGTCTTCGGCTTCCAAGCTGCAGAGCCACGGTTTAGGGTTTCTGGTTTAGGGGACGGGCTGAAGTCGCTGGGGAAACCATCGGCTTGTAAACCTTCGCTTGCCTCATGGGAAGTATCTAGGGGTTCCGGACTCGAACGCCGGTGACCCTGGGTTTAGGGTTTAGGGTTTAGGGTTAACTCTAAACCCTCAACCGTCAAACCCTGGAACCTGGAAAGGTTTACGTCCAAGAGACAACAGTCAGACCTAAGTTCCTAAACCTAAGCCCTAAAACCTTTGAGCCCCAAGTGGGTAGTTGTCAAAATTATGGTCCCTTTTGGGGTACCCTATAATAGGCGCCGTATTATAAAAAGGGCCCAAAAAGGAACCAAAATTTTGACAACCACCCCAGTGTAAGAACGGTTTAGGGTTTAGAGTTTAGTTTAGGGCTTAGGGATTAGGGTTTAGGGTTTACTCAGAAGACGATCACCAACTGGACAGCTTCCCAGACGAAACTTCCTACATCTTCTGAGCTCTAGTACTTCGAAGTGGTTACGCTTTTCGGGCATTCTAAGATCGTAATGTAGGGGCTTGATTCATTAGAAAAGGGTTTTGGCTCCTTTATAGCACAGTTTTAATACGGAGCCCAAAGGAACAATATATATATATATATAGAGGTAATGGTGTAGGCTTCTATATTATCTACTTCAACTCGGTGGTGGGAGGCCTGACTGCTTCCATTTACACGTCGCTGGTCGGCACCTCAGCACACTCGACGCGACATTGCAGGATGCTAAACACCTGTCGAAGTAATGTAAAAGCCTTAAGAACTGGAATAGGGTTTTGGAGTATACTATAGACTATACTATGACTATAATAAGGAACCCCCCCAAAAAAAAGTACAGGTAATTATTTAGGACCCTACATTATGGGGCTTTCGGGCTTAGACTTTCCTGGTGAGCCCTTCGTGACTCGTGAGGCTTAGGGTTTGGGATTTCGTATCGGCAGCTGCTGGATGTGGAGCTTGGTGACCGGAAGTACATGGTAAGAAGTCCAGGATAAGGATAACACGCCATTGTTGCACTGCAAAAAGAACGGTGCCATGAAGGACTCGTGTTTCTCAACACTGAGGATCCCACAATCAGCCATGATGAACCCTAGACCTCAAACCTAAATCCGAAGCCCTAAAGCCCCTAACCCTAAACCCAATCCTAAGCCCCCAAATCCCAGAAACCCTGGACCAAGAGCTGTGCAATATGCAGCGTTCACATCACCCAGGCTCTGGAGCTCGCTGTCAAGCTTGGCCTTACAGCCGTAAACCCTAAACCCGAAGCTCTAAACCCTAAACCCAGGCTTTGGTTTGGCTCTATAGTGCTCATGCTTCTCGTTCAGGCTTCGGGGACGACCTGGACCCCCTCAACTTGTGGGGTTCCTTAATTATGGTTTCCTTATATAAGCCCTGAAAAGAGTAGGTTATTTGGGGCTAAGGGAGGGTGTAACGTTCCATGCTTCGGCTTTGAAATTCAGGCTTTGGGTCTCCGAAGGTGGGCTTTGGGTGGTTTTTGTTTTTGCTGTTGTGGGCGCCACGGCTCTTTGCAGGGTTCAGGGTGTGAGATGGCCTGTTCAGGTCTCAGGCGAGCTGCACTGGCGCGAAATAGTTAAGCCCCTGTAATCCAAGTCCCAATTCCCACCAGCCAAGCCCTGAACCCAAAATCCTAAACCCTACCCACTAAAGCCCTAAACCCTAAAACGGTATAATCCCTAACTAAGCCCTAGTAACCGGGAAGCCCTCTCAGGGAACCACCAAAAGAAACTCTGCGACCCATGGACCCCAAACCCTAAATCCTAAAACCTAAATCCTAAAACCTAA